CACCAACAGCAGACAGATATTATGTTTATGCCCTCCTCTCCATCCCCACTACCACTGCCCTAATTCAGGCCTTCGTCGTCCCTCAGTGGACTATTATAACAGCCTTCTAACTGGTCTCTCTGCTCCAATTTGCTTCCCTCTAATCCATTCTCTACACAGCAGCAAAAGGAATCTGTCTCACAAAGAAAGCTGCCCCCTCCCCCTACTCCTAACACCCTCAAACAGCTCCCCCTTGCACTTAGGATAAAACCCATATCATTAGCACTGCCCATCAGGCCCTACGTGATACGGCTCCTGCTGGCCTCTCCAGTTTCATTTCTTTCCACTTCTCATGCTGAACTCGTGCTCCAGCAACACGGAATGGCTCACAGTTCCCCACAAATACTGTATGATTTCTCACCTTTGTATCTTGATTTTGCTGGCCTCTCTCCTGTGATGCTGCATACCCTCCCTTTGGTTCTTTGGTTTGCTAACTACTCCATACCAGCTCAAACATCATTTCTGAGATATCTTTCCCAATGACTACACACACACACACACACACACATACACACACACACACACACACACACACACACTTGGCTGCACCCAAACTATACTCTGCAGATCTCTATCACTGCACTCGTCACATGATGCTGCCCTGATGTATTACTCTGTCCACCCCTCTCACCAGGCTATCAGCTCTTATAGGGAAGGTCTATTATATATTCATCTTTATACCCAGGCACCTAGCATTGTGCCTGGCATCTAGCAGGCTCTCAATAAATAATTATTGGACCATTATTTGAATAAGCCTACATTTTGAATTAGGGAAACCCCTGCTCTGAGAGCTTAACTAATTTGTCCACGATACAAACTCTGGGCCCAAATTTCTTCACCTATAAAACAGGGATAACAATAATACCCACCTCATGCACTACGCTCTCTCTGTAAGGGACTGTCTCTGACTCTGACTCTGACTCTAGAAACCAAATGCTAATCTAGGTCTGTCTGAGATCCCAAACACTTCAGACTACTCCACACTACCTTCTAAGGGTCCACAGATAATTTCATGAGCTAAAAATGTTATATTTCTTGAGGGAAATTTTTTCTTTTTGCTATTTTTTTTTACCTCTTTTGAATCTCATATACTTTTGAGAATCTGAGGAAAGCTATGGACTTCTTTCCCCAGAAAAAAATGAACATACACACCAAATTTGGTATGTAACATAAGAGTCTATTAGTCAGGATAGGGTAGCTGTTGCTGCAGTAACATATAAACCACAAAACCTCAATGACATAGCATAACAGAAGCTTAATTCTCACTCCTATAAAGTTCCTTGTGGGTCAGCAGGGGCTCTCCTCCTTCTGGGGAGTCAGGGGTGTAGGCTCCTTCCACCATAAGACATTGTTATCTCAACACATACTTCCTGATTATCAAGACAGAAAAAGGAAGAAATGAAGAAGACGTGCTGGCTTTGAACTGCTTCAGCATAAAAGTGGCACATATCCGTGGTAAACTGCAAAATGCCCACAAATTCCTTCCAACCTTGTGTGCACACCCCTTTGCAAAGTGACTCTGATTTTCCTCCTATCAACAGGTATGACCTTTGTCTCTGTCGCTTGAATGTGGGCTCAACCGATGAGACATTAAGAAACCTAATGCAAGCAGAGGCTTGAAAAGTGCTTGTTCATTGGGGCCTGTCCTTTCTTGCTCTTTGGGACCATGAGATCACCATGAAGAAGCCTGAGTTAGTCTCTCTCAAAACATGTGGCCCAGTTACCCCATTGCTTTAGCCAACAGCCAGCACCTACAGACAGACAGAATGGATCCTCAAATAGGTAAGACCATCCTGTGTCAACAGCTCCCTGCTGGCTGAGATTGCATCAGTGAGCCCAGGCAAAACCAGCACAAACACCCAGCTTAGCCCAGACCTACTGGATGCCCTGATGAATTGTGAGCTAAGAAGTGACTATTGATTTAAATTACTAAATTTGGGGAGTATTTGTTATGCAGCAAAAGCTAACTAATGCAAAAATAGGAACCAGAACTGGAGTGCTTCATTAACAAAAACTTAAAACATGTGGCACCAATTGTGTGATTTTGGAACTGGGTGGAAACTAGACAATTAGTTATCAAAGGCTGGAAACACAACAACCTGCTACACAATCCATAGACCTACAGCAACTAATTCCTACATACAATTTAAAGGCCTAGAAATACATGATCATTTTAAAAAGCTCTCTTACTCTCAGAGAAAGGAGCTGCAGTTTCTAGTGAGAGCAGCTAGGCTAGAGGAGTGATGAGGTTATGCTACGCCTAAATCAGTCCTGGAACTTCCTAAGAAGAGGGTAAAGTCTTGGAATTACAAAAAGAAGAGTTTGGAAGTCAGAAAAAAAAATTGTATCTGATCATAGATTTGCTTACGTACCAGCTTTGGAACCAGCCGTGGAAACACAACTCAGAGGCATGGGAGATGATGCTTTAGTTTGTTGGATTATTATCAAGATGAAACAAGATGATATATGGGTAAAAAAGGTTAAATTGCTAAGAACTGTCCTTGAAAATATGTGTATTATCACTGCACCCTAAGGCTGCCACCCCCCTGGCATAATGTTGGGTGAGTGGCACCTGAAACCACCAGGGGGCACTCTGAGGTTGGCATTCCAGAAGACCTGTTGGAGCCTGGAATGGAAGAACTCCAGGATGGAGTCCATTGGGAAGGCTTTTTTGAGAAAGTGACATTTACTATGAAGTGTAAATAATGAGTCATGTTTAGCTAAGTGGCACATATTCTGGGCAGGGTGAACAAGCACAGAAAATCTGGAGGTGAGAAAGTGCATGATTCATTCATGTACCTGCCCTCTAAAATGTGTAGGTTTCTCCATGAGTCCATCAGGTTGAGGAGGTGGAAAGGGAGCCCTATCTTGTAAGGACATGGCTTCTCTTAAATGCAGGCAGATGTGAGAGAGGACGTGACTCTTTCTTGAAATGCAATTTTCTGCTTGTTTACAAATGATTAACTACTGCAATCAATTGTGCCATAGTTCAGGTCACTGCATCCTTTGGGACAACAGTAAGACGGTGCCTTGGGCTGGGACTAGTGATAACGGGAATGCACACAGGATGGTCTGATGGCAGACCTTGTTCGGAATTCTGGCATGATTAATGTGAAGGGACTACCGCCCTCTGTGGCTGTCCATGCACCCACTCACTACTTTTCCATATTTGCATCCCCAACCCCCACCCAGTACCCTGGCAGGTATGGCAGGTTGGGGGAGCAGCTGGCACTCAAGTGTATGTCAATCTATGTCAGCAAATAGGTGAAGGGGCTTCATGTTTTGTATATTCCAACCCCAAAACAACATTGTGAAGTAGATAGTAAGGAACTATTATCCCTGTTTTACAGATGAGGAAACAGAGTCTTAGAGAAATTAGATCGCCTGTTCAAGGAAATCAAATCCAGTCTTTGTTCTTCCCTCCAGCCCATCCTCAAGTCACCTGCAGCTCTCCTGCTGGGGGCCCCTCACCCATGCCTACAATATCAACAGCCACAGGATGGCCATCCGCCATGTTCTTCCAGCCCTTCACAGCCTGCAGATTGGCTTTGTCAGAATCAGGTTAGTGCACTGTGGACTTGAAGCTCTTGGTTCTGAGGAGTCAGGGATGGTTTCCAGGGAGGTACATTTGAGCACCTCGGCCACAGGCATATTATTTCTTTCACACCAGACCCCTGTGCAGCTCACACAGGCAGGGTAGGTACCATCTCCAGGTTGCGAGTCAGGGCTAACGTTCTGTGTCCACGCTGGAAAATGTGAAGACACCCAGCCCACCTCTGGTCACGGGCAACCTGGGAATCATTCCTGGAGGTATTGAGGTGAGTATTTGCTTGGATTATGCCATTTCAAGATAGCCTTAGTGTGACATTTTCTTTTAATCCAGTTTCACGGCAAGGCCACACAGAAATGACAGGGAAATCGGTGAACTCTTCAGAATACTGAAAAGATGAAGGTGAAGCACTCTTCTAGGCTCAAATAAAACGTGTTGGACTCACCACATGTGAGCGGCACCTGCCTGTGCTGTTCAACCCGAAAGGAAAGACATCCATCTAATACCAATGGTCTACTACACTCCACTTCCCAACGAGGTCAGGAAAACTACCTATTCCTCCCTAAATACAATGAAGTTCTATATAAATTATATAATAACAACAAGACATATTTGGTGAATTATTCTCTTAGAGTTATCATTTTTACCATGCCTATTTGTGACACATTTTCACATTTAGCATCTCATCTGACCCTCCCAACCCTGATAGGCAGGCATAGCCCTCCCAATCTTATGTATGAGGAAATAGAGTCAGAGACAGTCCCTTACAGAAAGAGCGTAGTGCATGAGGTGGGTATTATTGTTATCCCTGTTTTATAGGTGAAGAAATTTGGGCCCAGAGAAGTTAATAATGTGCCCAGGTCACACAGCTGGTGAAACATACAGAGAGAATTTGAACCCAGGTAGATGGTTCTAGAGCTCTCCAGCCTCCTGCCAACTTGCTCAAAATCATATAGCTAGAAAAAGGCAAAACTGGAATTCAAAGCTTGGCCTGATTCCAAACCCTGCATTCTCCCTAGTAATAAGAGCTCACATGTCTGAGTCCTCCACGCAGGCCTGATCTGAGCACTTTCCTCATGTTAACGTATTTAATCCTCACCATTTTTCAAGTGAGGAAACTGAGGCATAGAGGGAAAGGAACTTGCTCGAGGTCACAAAGCTAGTAAGTGGCATAGAAAGGATTTGAACCCAGGCAGCCTGGACTTAGAGCCCACCGTCCTTATTGCCCCACTAACAGCCTGTCCTCCGTGCCGCTTACCTCAAAGTCTGCTCTATATGAATAAAAGCCAGGCTGCGGCAGAGTTTTCCGTGGTTCTCATTGCTTTCCTAGAGCCACAGGTAAATTTTCTGTCTGTACAAAGTCTAAGGGGTTTGCAGTCCCTGGTTCTGTTTACTTTGCTGAACTGTTTGCTCTATGGGGACAGAAGCCGACGGTGGCACTCCCTGGGCAGGCTTTTCATAGATCTGGGTGCCTCAGCTGGGTCTCCTGTCAAATCGAGAAAATGAAGACATCCAGGACGTGGGCCTGGAGGGTGCCAGCAGAGCTGCTGCTTCTCTGTGCTGCTCTGGGTTGTCTGAGTTTGCCTGGCTCCAGGTAAGTGACAGTTACAAATGATTCCCTGATCATTAATATGACAGGGGATAGCATGCCACATAATGCCGACCATCTCTTTGTCACTTGCCTTTTGAATAAGGAACATCTCTTGAAGCCATTTGCATGCATCTGATAAAAAAATATCAACAACTCTCCTCAAACTATTGTGGAACCAAGCAGCTGGCTTCAACAAAAGTTCCCATAAGAAATTGACATGTTTAAATGTATCGTGTCATGGTAAGAAGGGTAGGATACGTGTTCTGCAGTCCGAACAAAACCTCAGTGTGATTCTTTATGCAAAAGAAGGTTTGTTATGTATGGGAAAATGAGTCAATTCATACAGATGATTTTACTATATGAGAATGACCTACGCTATCGGTTCATCAACCCAGTTTTGGGGAGTTTTTGGCTTCTCTCTCTCTCTCTCTCTCTCTCTCTCTCTCTCTCTCTCTCTCTCTCTCAAACACACACACACACACACACACACACACACACACACTCCAGATGTTCCCAGCAGTTAAATGCTAAATGATTTATTTCACCATTTTGTTTTTGTATCTGTTAATAAGATGCAAAACAGGCTAAAGAAAATATCTGAGTCAAAGCTCAAACTTAATCTGAGTGAAAGCCCAAACTTGGGCTCCGGTAAAAGAAGTGCTAGCGACTTAGCAATTCGGGGGTCATCCTGTGCATGAGAAGCCCTTACCACGAGAGGTGGGCGCCCTCGGGCTTCCCAGGCCCCCTTGTGGGCCGTCCTGTGGGAAAAGGGACTGTTAATACCATTTATTCAGCCCATAACTGCTATCTGAGCACCTAGTACCCACTGGACACACCCTTGGTCTCAGCTCTGCTGAGCACTCAGCCCCCCACTGGGAACTACCCCAAGACCAGCACGTTGAGTATGCACTACCCACTGGGCTTTCAATAAATAATAGCTATTAAGATTATCAAGAATCGCAACTTGACCCTAAGAAGACTCAAGCTTCCAAGACCTCCCTTGTGTGCACTATGTGTACACAGAGACGCATTCAGGATCCAAGGAAATGTGTCTGGGATTGAAGGTTCCAAGGGATCATAGCACCCTGACCCACAGCACGGACCCCTGTACAGGGACCCCTACCGGGCTCGGAGGATGCAGAGATGAATAAGACACAAAGAGCTCATGTTCTCGTGAAGAAAGCCAACAATGAGCACCTACCCTGTGTACTGTTGCAAGAGATGGTACAGGAGAATGTGGGAAACAAGAGGGAGTGATCAGCTCTACTGGGCACGGGGTCTGGAAAGACTTCTAGAAGACATGGTGCTGGAGCTGAACTTTTCCGTAGGCATAGCTGTGTGCTCAATGGCCCAGGGAGGTGAAGGGTGCTCTAGGCAGAGGAAAGCACACAGACAAAGGCATGGAGATGAGGTAGCCTGGCTGTTTCCTAAAGCGGCAAGTGCACTTCTGTAGCCCTGAGCACAGACCAAGGTCAGGAGCTACCAGAGACGAGATGGAACAGGAGTTAGCTCATGGCTGGAGATGAGGGGCGCTAGAGTGCCAATGAAGGAGCTTGCACCTTACTGTCTAGGCAGTGGGGAACCATTGAAGGGTTTTCAGCAAAGGAGCTACGCAGTCATATTTATATCCATATTAGGAAGTTCACTCTGAGGTAGGAAGTGCACATGTGAGGAGGTGAGTAGCAGGCAGGTCGGGGAAACCTTGTTTAACCCTCCAGCAATGTCATGAGTTGGGTGTTATTCTTACTCACACTTTGCAGAACAGACTGATCCTAAGAAGAGAAAAGATTCACTCATGTTCCATGAGTGTCAAACCCTTACCTGAGTGCAGGTTTAGTGCTCTGGCCTCTACCCCTGATTCTCACGGGGCAGTCTTGAACATGGCACTTATTTGATTTCCCTACATGAAGTGAAAGAATAAATAGCCTTCGGTTCTGGAATAGAAAATATTGAGCCCTCCTCCATATTAGCTAAGAAAGGTTTTCATTCCTAGTTACTCTTGTAATCCAGTCAGATGAAATAATCATCATGTTGTCCTAAGACCTATTGTGTATTTGTTGCCACTCTGTGCCAGTCACTAGATACATTAGTTCTAATCCTCACAGCTATTTGAGGTAAGTGCTAGCGTTTACAGTTTACAGACAGAGAAGCTGAGATTTGGAGAATGTAACTATCACAAGGCTACTCACTTCCTATCTAACAGAATATGGACTTAAATCCAGTTTGTTGTGTTTTTTCTTTTCTGGTTCCAGAGCCCATGTGTGTCCCTGCATCTTTCTGCCTCTCACTCATGCATTATCCCCTCTTCTCCTGCATCGTGTATCTATCTAGGCTCCCATGACATTTCTCTATCTCCGGGCTACCCATTTGTTGCCTTGAGATGTCGCTTTAAATTTCATGTCTACAATAGCAAATGACAAAGAAAAGAAAAGTTGAAAAATCTGCCACCCAGGAGCCACCCCTCCTCGCAAAGAGGAAGGATGCTATTCGCAAAGGGGAAGCAGCTGCCTAGCAAACTGGGTAACAAGAAAGTTGTTGTGTCAGGACATTTCTCCAGAATATGCGAAACATATTGGCGCACCCATCTATATAAGCTGATGGCTGACGATTTACTGCTGACCTAATCCTGCTGGGCTTGATAGATCCAACTGTATTTTGATGAGAGACTCCTGTTAAAGAGAAAGAAGACAGGGACCAAGTGAAATATGCCCTAATGCTGACAATAGTGTTCCATGCACCTCAAATAAAGGCACATCCGCACCAGTCTTGATGCAGAGGGAAGTGTTCCAAGGATTTGTAGGAAGGTGTTTACTGGAGCATTATTTGCAATTGCCAAACATGGGGGAAATATAAATATCCTGTAAAAAGAAAAAGAACAAATTGAACATAATATGTGTCCTATGATGGAACATCTAAATAAAACGAAGGAACTGGATCTCTTTATAAATCAATGTGGACAGAAATACAATTTTGGCCGACAAAAGCAAGTTGCTGCATAATATGTACAGTATGAGTAACGCACACAAAAACAATACTATGTATTATGTATATATGTAAAATTATTTAAAAGACGGGAAGGGCACACAACGAATTCAGGACAATAGTTCCCTCTGAAGAGGAAAATGGAACTGGTTCTGGTATAATTTCAGATGTCAGATTTATAGGGTTATTTTTTTATTAAAACAACAACCAGACTGAAGGAAATATACCAAAATGTTAACAGTTGCCAATCCTGGGTGGTGAGTACATGAGTGTTTATTATTTTGTTTTCTGTACTTCTCATATTTAATTTTTCAGCATTAAAAAGATACAGAGGGTTTTGAATAACGGAAGTCAAGTCTGTTGGTCCAAATGTCCATCTGGCTTATTTCTGTAGAAATGCATAGGTGTGAATGACACATGTGCTAACCATACACGGAGGCCCTGCCTGGACCTGCCCTTTATTGGTACCATGCTATTCCCAGGCATTAAAGATGCAATTTAATGCTAGCCTTTCTTTCAGCATTGCATTTGGTAGTACTCGTAAACCACACACATCTTATCCAATGTAATTTACAAACATGCTACTTATCTTGCTGATTACTTGTTATATTGCCATCTCCATAATGAAAATTGGGTGCAAACATGAGCAGTCTGCTGGTTATAACTACGTCTTACTAAGTTCCTTCTATAAGCGATCCTCTTGCCCATTAACAGGTTTTCAAATCTCAGAGAAAGAAATAATTGTGACTCTTAATAGTGTGTGTGCCCATTACTTATCCACCCAGTCTCAACTGTGGCCCGGCCTCGGGTTGAGAGTTGCTAAAAACACCATGTAACTGTCTCTTAGTTGAAACACAAAAAAGATACCCTGCAGCGCTGTCAACTACATAGTTCGGAGAAGCCAAATCACAGACAATATTGTTTTGTCAAACCTGGGCAAATTAGTAGA